TAACTCCAATCAAGTGTCGACTACCAGAAAGTTCTAATTAGCGCAAAAGGAAGCAGCATACCAGCCGAGCAGGCGAAGAGTATCGTAAGACATGTGCCTGTGTAGAAAGGCCTGGCAGAGGAAGGAGAATATAGCACGTTTGAGAAATTGAAAGACCAGTGTACCTGGAGCCCAGGTGTACCTGGAACCCAGAGAGCAACCAAGTGTGAAGTGGATGAGACGGGCAATGGTCACATCATCAGGGGAGAGAGAACTGGGTTTTGATATGAAGAGCAGTGGGAAGCTATTGAAGAGACTTGACTAAGGGCGATGCTCTGATCTGGTTTAGTTATTGAAGTATCACTGGCTACTGTGGGGCAGGGGGAGGTGCCAAGATCAAAATGGACAGCTTAATTAGGTGCTGCTCTTGTAATAGTCTTACTTTTTGAGCTTATCACCTAATAAAACTCATTTACCACCTCACCTAATATACACCAATGTTATATATACTATATACACATTTTAGTGTTGACATATTATGTACTTTATAAAAAATAGAAATGTGAAAAGGATGAGAAAAATGTTTAACAGAAATAGAAATATTACCGTTCCCCAGTGGATGTTGAGTGCTCTGGGATATACGTATCCCACCTTGAAAACCACTCTGAACAAGAGGTCATGAACATGAACACTGGCGATGGGGTCACTTTGGAGAGAGAAATGAGGAGGGTGGCGTTAACAGGACTTGGAAATTGGTTAGATAGCAGTAACAAAAGAGAAGGAAGGGGTGAGTGAGGAGGGTCCTAGATTTCTGGCTCATGTAATGAATAGTTACCAGCACTGGTTAGAGAGTTAGCACTCCAGGAATAAGCTAATCCTATTGGTTAAAGTGGCATTCTACCTGGAGGTGGTGTTTTCTCCGAGCATGTATGTATACTCCGTGATGCCTTAGTCACACGGGGTGGATATGTGATTTGATTGGCAGGTCTTGATCTGTGGGTGCTCAGGAAGAAGCAGAGAAATGAATGAGGGACATGAGCTGCTCTTGCCTTTAGAAGTGTTAGGATAGAACAGGATTGGTAAATGATAGGCCCCTCAACTTCTGCTTGACTCTGAGTTTCTTTAGCTGGCGGCAGAGTCCGTTCATTCCACCACTGAAAAGAAATGGCTTACCAAACAGATGCCGGGGTGAGAAGCATACGGAGAGTGTTGCCACGCAAGCCTAATAATTTATCATCCGTTAGCAATCATTTTCATATTTGCTTCTAAGGGAATCAAATGCATGTATCACCTCACATATTTAATTTTCCTTTTCTTTTTAAGCGAGGACATTTAAGATCTACCCTCGTAGCAAATTTCAGTTATACAGTACAGTGTTAATCAGCTGTAGTCACCACGTTTTACATGAAATCCAAAGTTTGTACCTTTTTTTACTAACGTCTCAATTTCTCCCATCCCCCACCCCTGTCTCTGGCAACCACTTTTCTACTTTCTGTTTCTGTGAGTTTGGCTTTTTTAGATTCCACATACAAGTGATACCATGCAGCCTTTGTCTTTTTCCCTCTGGTTTATTTCAGTTAGCATAGCGTTCTCAGGGTCCATCTATGTTGTTGCAAACAGCAGGATTTCCTTCTTTCTTAAGGCTGCATAACATCCCGTATTTTGAGAGAGAGAGAGAGAGAGAGAGAGAGAGAGAGAGAGAGAGAGAAAGAGAGAGAGTGTGTGTGTGTGTGCGCGCGCGCGCGCGCGCACGCACACGCACGCGTGCACTGCATCTTCTTTATTCATCTGCTGACAGACACTTAGGTTATTTCTATATCTTGACTATGGTGAAGAATGCTGCAATGATGATGGGGGTGCAGACATTTCTTCGATACCGTTTTTATTTTCTTTGGACATCCCGGTGTGGGATTTTGCTGGATCACGTGGCCATTCTGTTTCTAATTTGTTGAGAAGCCTCCGTACTATTTTCCACAGTGGCTGCACCAATTTACATTCCCTAGTACCTGTTTTTTTGAATGCAGGCAACCATACCACTGCAGTGTCTTCCTCCAGCCTACTCTAGATACCTGAGAACAAACTAAACCACATTTGCTTTCATTCCCTCTCAAAAATGTAAATAGTAGAACTTTGCAATCACGAGGGTAATACCTGGGGACCTTGTGGATGGTCAAAAGTGTGGACATTGCTAATTTTTCACAGGATACTGATGCTGTGCTTACTCAACAGACCAGCTTTCCAGCATGCAAATCAAATTAAAACCAGCTTTGAGCAAACATTATCTCATTTAATCCTCAGAAAAAATGCTGAGATGGGCACCGTCCCCATTACAAATGGCCTCGGGACTAACTGCTAATAGTGGAAACTTCTAATGTTAAAAACATGAGCGCTAAGGGTCTAGTATGGTAATTATATAGAGCAGTAAAATACAGTAATGCCAACCAAATTTAAACAACCTGTCATTTTCTGCTACTAATACACTAAACCCAAGGTTTCTGCATTTCTCTGTTCATACAAAAAACCTAATGGTAAAGAACGTTAAAAGGCAAGGGGGGAAAGCCTGAGGAATAGCAGTGTTACATACTCCATGAGCAATAAATGAACCACCATGACAAGACTATTTTAAGATCAGAATAGCTGATAGAGATGGCCATTTTTCTTCTCCCTAAGTCTAATAATACAAGTTTTTAATTTTGCTTTTTTTGTTACACGAACTTCCTCAATTCGTGCTTTTCTTTAGGGCCCATTCTAATTTCTCTCAGTTCTAAGCCTATTTTAATATGGCTAACTTAAAGAGAAACGTCCTTTTCATCAGCAACATGTAAGATACGTGGAATATCGATCGATGCTAAAGCTAATTATGCTGTAATCACCGTCGTGCTGAATGTACTCAGTCTGGACAGGGGTTGTCCTTTCCCACATTCCGCCCTCCTCCCCTGACTGAGTGAAAAAAAAAAAAAAAGAGTTAATAGCATCAATACTGAGCAGGAAGTGCTGGTAGCCATATGCTTATGACGGAATGAATAATTTAGTATCCTGGGGAAATGCAAACTGCAGTAGAATTCAAGCAACCGTATCAGAATTTAGATCAGTATTTTATGTAATGGTAAGTAAGAAGTAAAAGTCAGTAGAAAGAAGATGCTTAAAGATCAAGTGCAATAATGGTGCATAAGAGTTTAAACTCTGACAAGATTGGGGAATCTTGAGGTGAAAATGTTTTATCTTATGCAGTGATAATGGTTTACCTGCTTTCTGACAATTGTCAGATGAGTTTTTGCCAAAATGATTGGTAATGGACCGTGGCAGTTTCTTTGCTGTCAGAGAAGAGATAATTTCTCAGGTTTTTCTTGTAAGTTTTTATGTTTGCCTTCCCCCCCACCCCCCGGCCCCTTTAAATATGAGCTCAAGGAACTGAAGGTTAAAATGTGAAGACTAGGCATGTTTATTTAATGAAGGCTTTGTAGTAGAAGTCATTGAAAAGCATTGGTAAGACACAGAATATTTTAAAGTTTAAACTTAAAATATAATTGTTGAAAATTTTCTGAATTGTTTATCTTCTTTGGAATGATCTAATTAGGTTGGTAGACATTTTATATGTATTCCAGTGGTCTTTTTTTATGTTATCACTGTAGATACTGTGCATGCGACTTTAATAATAAATGGGGTGGTTGGAAGTACTTAGCAAAGGTGACATTTATCCATCTTACTGTGTTTGTGTTTGAAAATATCTGCTGAATGTAATATTTTCAAAACAAGATTTATAGTTTATTGGATTATATTAAATCTAATTTCTAAACGTAATAAAAAAATCCTCTTGATTATTTCAGATTTCTTACCATTTTCAGATGTGCTTTTTTTAACTACAAATTGCTTTGGCTCTGATTCTGTGCAAACTTTTTTAGTTAACATAAATTGTATTATTTAAATTAGACAGTTTTAGGGGAACTCTAAACTACTGTCCTGTTTGCAGTTATGCAGTCTTTCTTAAATCAGTATATTTTTAACCTGTTTATTGTTTCTTTTTAATACTAATGGAGAAAGTCTTTCCCATGCTGAAAGAACTTCTTTAGGATTTTATAGAAAATTGTTCATGTAAAGTTTTGAATGTCACTAATGTAGTACTAAATATATATATATATATATAATTTTTTTCCACCCCCATTTTGAGTGTCACCTTGATTTTATTTCATAAATTATTACCTTTTCGTTCAGTTTTGTGTTTTAAAGAGTGTTTACTTCAGCATTGCTTAAGGTAAATTTTAATGTAGGTAGCCTAAATATTGAATGGCTATTTGATGTGGCCACACATTTTAATACATAATTTGTCAAATATGTGTACATAGATACATGTTGAGAAAAAAAGGAACAATAAAATGTGGGTTGGTAAAACAAATAGTTTTGATGTTTTTCAAAGTGCAAAGCACATGAAGATGTTTTACACCAACTCGTGTTTTACACCAATGACTATAAAACACTTTCATTGCTGTAGGCTGTTCAAAATGGCTTTTGTCTTTTTTCAGCTAGTAGAAATGAGTTTATCCGTGTTAAGTTAATCTTAAACATTTCCCCTCAATTTTTTTTCCAGCTGCAAATTCTCCTAAACGAGCAATACTAAAAAGGGTAGCTATGAAATTAACTCTGATGGCCCTAGGTTTTGACTTCCTGTACCTTGACTTCGTTTATTTCCTTTTAAAGATAAAATTGTAAAACATAAATGCATTGCACTCATTTCGTGGATTGTATAACTCAGGAAATAATTAAGCTATAAGGGCATCCTTTGATCTGCGGCTTATTATATAGGGTTTTTCCACAAATAAATTACACCTAAAAAAATTTTTTTTTAAGCTACTGATAAAGAGGATACGTTTTTATTAAATTACAGAGCCTCCAGAATGAGGACCTAGATAGGAAGTATGTCTAAATCCGTTGTGAACCTTTCAAAGCACCTTTTAGTTTATGTGAAGTTCTTCAGATGGCCCCGTTGTCCTTTGAAGCTTCTAACACCAAGGTGTCTGTTGCAGCCCAGAGCAAGGTTACTGCCACGCAGGACAGCACTAATTTGCGATGTATTTTCTGTGGTAAGCAACATTCTGTTTACATTCCTTTTTCGAGCTGTGGTACATACGACTTGCACATTTCCATCACTTTTGTTTCCTTAGGCCATGGTCTGGTTTGTGGTATTGGGATATATATACGCAGCAAGCTACCGTTTTATGTTGTGATACTCGTGGTTCACATAGGTGATTTGGTCAGCTTTCGAGTTGGCTTCTTAGTGAGGATTGAATTAGAAGTAGGATCCTACCACGAATTCTTGTTCATTTCTTCCAACACGAAGGAGTGAGGTTTTTGTTTGTTTGTTTTTGTTTTTTAACTAGTTTGAGAGCAGTCTTTTAATTTGGAATTGAAGAGGAAAAAAAGTTATAACCATCTGTGTCTTATTGGAAGGGAACTTTTGCTTAACTTGAATTAATTTTTAGGTGTACACGTTGCCAGGCAGATGTTAGCTACTACTTGCTTTAATAGGTTTACCTTCTGATCAAAAGCCTCCTTTATTCATTAGTTTAGATAGCTGTGGCTTAGACGTGAATTTAGGCTTATAGAGCATTTTCTTTCACTGTCACTCTCATGTACACACATGTATTTATTGTTTGCATGGACAAACCACATGTCACTCAGCCACCCCAAATTGCAATTAATCAGATATATGCATATCCTCATCCTTACTCAAAGATATATCAATATATGTATGTGTGTGTATACACACACACACACACACACACACACACACACACACACACACATCCTTGTCTGAATTCTTTTTATGCTCATTTGATTCTAAAACTTTATTTGGAAAACCCAAGTTCAGAAAGTGACTTTTAAAGCTGTTTTCTTTCTTTTCTTTCTTTCTTTTTTTTTTTTTTTTGACTCATACGTATATACCTTTGTGGACTCCTGTATACCTTGACTGGCCAGATTTTCAATGAGAGATAAAATTATAAAATGATATACTACTAAAATTTTTATATAAACAGTTCAGCTCTGTGCATGTACTTTATCCATGTGAACTCAAGAGTTTTTGATGTGATTCTTCAGAATTACTGATATTGTTCCTTTATCTAAATAAAATTATTTTAAAGTTTCTGTACTTGTTGGTTTAGGCAAAGAAGCATGTGTTATAAATTTGCAAAAATGAAAATTCTAGTGTATTTCTCGTTATAGTTTTAAGATTGCTCCAGGCGACACAGTTACAGCAGTGAGCCTATTGTTTGGCCCTTTATAAAACCCCCTTTCCTCCCAGGATTCCACAATTAATCATTGCAGATTAAATGCTTCATCAATAAGTTTAATTCTGAATTTCCTGCCTCCTCCTGGGGGGGTTCTTCTAGGCCCTCTTTTGGCTTCGCCATGAGTGGTTATTCTTATTTGTGTTCTTAGGACTCTTTAGTTCGTTTTGCAAACCTACTTGATATTCTATACCTGGTACTTAATATGTTGAGTTTCATGTCCAGAAAAATAGATACAGTTTATCCAGTTGCAGAGAAAAGAGTGATTTGGCCTTAATAAAAGTAAATTTTTTAAGTTGTAAAATTATGTGTTAAAAAAAAGCAGATTTCCCCCATTATTACCTTGAATTGTACAAACAATATAATCACCACATTGCTAAGTTTAAACTTGATTGTATTGTATATAATAACACCTATTTGTCTTTTGGTGCTGTGTTTTTAAGTAGTCTGTGGCTAAGTGTGAAACTATATTTGCGAAAACGAAAATGTTACACTAAGTGAAATGTGCTTTAGTCAAAGCTCAGTATTAAAGTTAAGACTGAATTGCCATTCATTCCTGGCTCAGAGAGATATTCTGTTCTGATTTCCATCATTTACAGGGTACCGTATCATTAATATGGACACATTTTCTTGGTTAGAAATTGCATGTCACATACTTTGCCATATGAATTCTGGCCAGGACAAATTAAGCTCAACCATTGTCTTTGGCTGTGGAAATAAAACAGAGAAAGCTAACCAAACTAGCCCTCAAATAGCTATAGTTCTTTATGATAAAATAGGAGGAACAAAGCAAGTTTACTTGTTTCTTCTCTTTTTTTCCAAAAGAGAACTGTTAACCACCACATGATGCTCATAAAATATTGTCGTTTGCCCATTGGTATGGAAAGGACCTATTTTGCATTCTTTAAGAACATAAGTACTCATTTAGGAATATGACCTATGTGAAGTAATATTTATGTTCTAGACAACTCGATGGCAGCTGGCAGCTCTGCCTGATCTTAGTTGCTGCTTCATGTTGTGTGTGGTGCCTTAGGTATGATTGACCAATCGTATCACCCAGCAGAATGTTTGACAAGAAGGAAACATGTAATTCATAATTTATCTAGAACTCTTTTAATTAGTGCTTACAGTATACTTATATTAGTTTTTAAGTGCACATGAATTTCATGTGTGCTCATTATTGTGACTTGACAATAGTATGAAGAAGAAACAAGCAAAACAACCAGATTAAATATAGATATGAGAAAACGCTGAGGAGAATGCTTATCCTCGCCTGTTCCCCATTTAAAGAATGTCTATGGAAAGACAGATAGCAGATTATCACAAAGAATAATGTAGAAAAGAATTTTAAGGGCTATTCTTGCATCAAAATCTTCCCCATTTTAAAAGGATCTTCCTTGAAATTTTTCTTTACTTCTCAGCTGCGTGAATAAACTGTAGTAAACTATTTTTATAATTAGTGATAGCGGCCAGAAAATATTACCCACAGTTTTAAACCAAGTTTGCTGAGTAAACTTTTAACTTAAAAAAATCCAAAACAGTTTTTGTAAATTGTTAAAAGATACTTTTTTCTCATTTAGATTTTTTTGGTGAGTTATATCAACTTTTGCTAGGTAAAAAAAAAACAACAACCCTATTTAATAAAATCAGTAGGATTCAGTTGAAATTTTGATACCTTTTACTTGAATTTATATATTTGAGTTAAAGCTTACACCAATAGATTTTAATTGGTTAATTTAATCTATTAATATTAAATAGTTAAACCAGAATGGTCTTGTGACTTGCCTATGCTAAATGTTCACATTTAATATTTTTGGATATATAAAATACTTCCCCTCAATAATTTATATTTTCTCAAATTTACCCTTCCAATCTGTGTGTACCCCTCCTGCCAAAAGAGACGAGACATCTTTTCCCTGTGAAATATTAAATATTAGTGTATGGCTTAAAATGATAGTATTTTTACATCATTATGTTAATTTTCACATGAAAAAGAATTCCAGTCTGTTCACTAGACAAGTTCTATATTTTCATTAATGTAAACATTTAAGTGTATATTTAATTTAAAGGTTTTTAAAATTTTTTTGTTACTGATTATATGGGGTTAATAAATTTTTATATTTCCTTTATGTGGTTCTCAAATTAACAGACTCTTAGGAAGTATAATGAAATATATCACTGCACTTGTCATCTATTGGGTTGTCGGAAAAGTCATGACCTATTTTTTCTGTTTTTCATTGCAAAAATGCGTCATGACTTTTTCGACAACCCAATAATTTTTCTTTAGAGGACAAATTAAATGATTAATGTAAAAATATGTGTAAAGAGATGAGGAAAGAAATTAGTTGGTAAGTTCAGATCAAATTATTTGTTTTTCTATACTTGGGGTAAACCCAGTACTGTATTACATTCTAATGAACCTTATCCTTGCAATTGTGAAGTCTACTCTACTAGCATAAATACTTTGTGCTTTTAATTCATAGAGTACAAGAATTTGCTTGAGAAGCATTTATTTATTAACTGTTTTTTATACTGGTGGTCTACCAAACACTTTTAAAACATCTGCTAGGGGCATTTGCTGGCACACCAGAACTCACAAATACGTACAGCATATAATTACTCATATATTTCTCACTAAGAGTGGAAGATAACAACTATTTATTCTGTTGTTTACTGGATTAGATTTTAAGACTGTTCTATTATAATGCTAGGCATTGTGTATTAGGCCCAGTATTTATTTATCTCATTTTGTGACATGTTTAATTTTTATATCCAGTGACATTAAATGTCCCATAATTTCGTGGCATTCTTTATAAGATGCTAAAAATGGCTCTTTTTTGTTTGTTTGTTTGTTTTTTTACCCCAATGAAAAGTTATTAAGATTACCTCCGTGACATTAAAAATTCCGATAAGTAGGTTAATTATATATGGAAGTTTAGCAAATGTCTGTTTTCACCAGTGCTGGAAATGCCAGGCCATTAAATAAAAATGGCAGCTTAAATTGGGCAAATTTGATAAATGCGTTAGCATACATCAGTCTAGTTATAAGGTTCTCATGCTCTCTCTCTCCTGTTTTTCATTTCCAGTGTTCTATTTAGGTGAGTTTTTGAATTCTGATTTTTCATTTAAGTGCTCCCTCTCCACTTCATGAATAAGTACCCCCAAGAGAATGTCTCATTGTCGTAGAAAATGTCGAGCTTAGGTGCCTATCCAGATGCTCATTGAACACATGTTTTACTCCAGCTCTTCATATATAAATGTTTATTTTTCCTTTTATTGTTGATGTTTTCCATTTGTTTGAAGTAAGCCTTTGGAGATGATGACAGTATTATGTTGCAGTCTTTCATTTGCTATGTGTTACGTAAAGCTTATATTTTATTTTGCTAAGCAAAAAGAAGATACATTTGTAAATCTGTGATGGTTTTATGTTATTCTCATGATTTTTACCTCTATCCAGCTAAATGTCAAGATAATCTTCATCTATCACGTTTTCTTCCCCTTTTAGGGCCAACATTGCCTAGACAAAATTCACAACTACCTGCCCAAGTTCAAAATGGCCCATCACAAGAAGAATTGGAAATTCAAAGAAGGTAAATTTACAAGTTCTTGTTTGTACTTTTTCCTTCTACTGCAGAAACTATGAACATCCTAATATTGAAAGTAGATTCTGTCTTGTCAACCATTTAAGGTCAGAACCTTTATTGTTATATTATTAACTTTTGGAATCACCATTAATAAGTGAGCCAATTCTTGTTATGCTGGACAAAAGATGTTATACAATTTCATATCTGCTTTTTTCTAAAAATCATACTCATGTTAGTTTAAAATAGTTTAAATATACTTAACAACGTACAAAAATGTCTTGATACCTCTAGGAGTCTTATTTTTATAGTAGTTATAAATTAATATACCTCCAGGAGTCTTATTTTTATAGTAGTTATAATTAATCTGTGATCATTATGGCTTTCACATGACTTAACTAGAAAATTGAAACAGTGTTGGTTGTCTATATAAGGCATTGATCCTGAGATACGACCATTGGGTTTAGTAATGGAACACAAAATTCTGTTTATGACCAAACTGCTGGCTCAATGCGATCAATAACATCACTATTTCAGTGCAGTTTAGAAACACATTTGAAATTATAATACAACCTCATGTAGGGGTAGTTTTTCTGAATTAGCAGAGTCTCTGAATTATAAGCTACTTTGTAACAAAATAGTTTTATAAAATTCAGATATATTCGGTAACTAAAATTGAGCTAGTCATACCAGGTTGTCCCATTTTCAACAAATGAAAACTTTTTAGAGATGTTTTAGAGCTTCGCTAGTAGGTCATCCCTGTTTTGTTTTGGAGAGTTGATAACTGTTGTAGAGATGGATTTTTCCTGTTGAAAAGCATGTGCCCCGTGACAAGCCAGCATTTTCTCGTGACCTTTGATTTGGATCTCACACTTGAAACATTCTTCATATTCTCTGTGTTGTCTTGATACATGCGTCATGTTCCCCTGACAGTCAGAGGGATTTCTTGCCAGGGTTCCGTGGTGTAGAACTACTTAGCTCTTGAGGGAGGCCCTGCAGGATCTGCCAACATTTTTTTTTTTTCTTCCCACAGCCTGTATATGCAGTTAGATCACTCCTGAAATAGCCTCCAAATTTGGTGAAAATCTAACTCCTTTGAGGGATGCTGTAATTAACAGATGTTATAAATAAAATTCAGTTTCTGTAGAAATAAGCAAAGCTTTGAGGATATAATAATTTCAGTTGCATACTGAGAGTTTTAAACATACCAGAATAATTCCAAGCGTTAGAAACTGTAATGATAGTGCATGCATGCGTACACACAACAGAAAAGTAATTAGTGAAAAATGATCATCGTGTTATTGAGCGTAACATGTTTTAGGAAGCTAGGAAGAACCAGGAGAAACCCGGAAACCTGATACAGAATTTCTGATCCTGTGGAGTGGGCAAGCAAGTAATTCCTGAGACAGTTGCTGGAGGCCAGGACAACACAGAATAGAAACAGAAACCATCTAAGGGACTGCTGCTTTGTCAGGAACTTACAGCATGCAGTTTTCGTGGGAAATGAGTAGCGAGTGAATTTTGAGTAATTGGAATGAAACTCCATGCCTCATAGATCCATTTTTTCTATCAAATCTCGAGTCCTAGGCTGTGCTTGTTGGGATGTCAGGTTTTTCTGTTTGTGTCTAAATAGATAGCTGAAGGGTTTGAAAATTGGAGATGTCATTTATATTACTTACTTGTTTAGTTGAAGACTTTTACTCAGTCTTTTTGAACAGTGAAGTCTAAATTTCTAAAAAATTGGTATGGATTTTTAAATTATTTTCTGTCCACAGTCATGCACAGACTCTTGTTTTGTTGAGCTAAACCTTCCACACCAGTTTCTTCCTCTCTCAGTATCAATTTCATTTCTATTCCTTCTCTTTACTCTTCAACCGTTTCCCTTTCAACCTCATGAAATGTGCATTGTGTATCCACAAATGTACTGGACAAGCTGTTTCCATTATTGACTGACTTCTGGTCTAAATCTCTTCTCTTAGTCCACATCTGCCATTCTTTCTTCCTGTCGATACTCTAGTGCCTGATTTTTGCTAATTCTTCTTCCTTTTTATCCGTTTCTGTACCCCTTTATATACACAGAGGGTGCCCAAAAAATGTATACACATTTTAAGACAGGAAAGAAAACTGTATTACAATTATAATACTCAGTATATACCGATAGCAAAACATGAATACATGTCAAGTGTATGCATTTTGTTGGCACCCCCGATATATAAGGCTTGGCACTTAGCTATCTTTTTTCTTTCTGTACTCAGTATGCCCTTTGAAAAATTGATGAGTTGGTTGGAAAGTGTAGTTTTTTTCTCTTAACTCTTTTGTATTGATGGCTCCAAATCTACAGCTCCATTCACTGATCATCCATGTGAGGTCCAGACCCATATTTCTAACTCAATGGAGTAGTCTCATGGACCCTTTGGGAATTGGGTGAAAGCAGTGGACCACTCCTTCCATCAGGCCCCCCAACCATTCAGATAATGTGTGGGTGTTTGTGCAACCACATACTTGCATTTACATGCAAAAACCTGCATACCATTTCAGAGGGTCACAGACCCCCTAACTCCCAACAGTGGGTCCCCATTGAGAGTTTCTGTTGCAGAGCTCATCCATTTGGGTATCCTGCTGACACCTCAGTTTAAACCCTGACTCGGGAATGATTTCATTCTTTTTTTTTTTTTAGCTGAGCCATCCCGCCACCTGTTGGCAGCTCATGGCTGCTCAGCTCGGGCTGACTCGAACCGCTGTTGCTCAGAGCTCAAACTCTTGAGCGAGCTCTTAACCAACAATGATTTCATTCTTAATGTACGTTCCTTCTTCTCTTTAACATTTCCCCCAAATTTTCAGCTTAGAGAGTCTGTAATTATCTTCACTCACCATCTCTCTTCAAATATACCTTGTTCTATCTTTCTCAAAAGCCTGTTAGATTTACTCTTCTGCCATTCGCATTACCAATAGCTTTCTCCAGTATTTATTCTCTTATGTACTGCTATAGTTTTCTAGGTGGTTTTTCTGTCTTTAACCTAGGGCCCTTTCAGTTAGTCCTACTTTATTACTGCCAGGTTAATTTTTCTTACACATTTTTGCACACAGCCAAGAAAATCTCAAATAGTGTAAAAGGGCCTAAAATGGGGAAGGGTAATGTACATCACCGTGCCCTCCCCATCCTGTCAATTTCTGGAAATAATCACTCTTACTTTTAGTACTTTTGATGACATCCTCATAACACTAAATAATGTGTTTATATTTCTATATTTTGGTTAATCAAGTTATAGAAACTAGCTGTTGACACTCCACCATGAAAAATGAAGAATTCTTCACTTCCCTTGCCAATCATCAGCAGTTAACTAATTTTAGTACCACTGTTGGTTTCTTTTTCAAATTGAACCTCTGTCTTAACTTTAGACAATATCCCTTAACTCCTCACCCTGTAAGAGGAGTTCAGTCATTTTACACACTTTTTTACTCTTTTTCTTCCATTCTACCACCTGGTTTTGGCAGATAAATCATTTTTTGAGGTTATACATTTGCAGTCTTTCTATAACTGTCATTAATCTTTGTCTTCATGTTTGTAGGCAATCTACCCCTCCCCTTTCCTGAATCCTTTTAAGCCTTCCTATTAACCATGGTTAATACAAATAGATGTATTACAAGAAGTAGAAGAAAATCTAAAAATATGCTGTAATAGCTTCAGAGAACTAAGAGCATATATTCCATTCATAAAGCAAAAATGTGTAGTGACTTGAGTCATTCAGAGCATAAGAAAATGTACTTAGAAATTTTTTAAAAAAGCATTTAATAATAGGAGGTTTGAGAAATAAGGTTGAGGAAATTGCCCTGAAAGTAGTTGTAAAAGTAGTATATGAGAAAGAAAATAAAATCAGATCAGGAGGTCCAACATCCAAATAATAGGGGTTTTTAAGAGGAAAAAGAACAAAAATGTAAGGAAAGACAGTTTGCAAGTAAAGTGCATAAAATATTTCCTGGAACTCAGTGACTTGATTGTGCAGGTCTGAGGTCTGCAAACGTTTTCTGAAAAAGGCCAGATAGTAAATGTTTTAGACTGTGGGCCACAAGGCCTCTATGGCAGTTGTTCAGCTCTTTCTTTGTAGTTTGCTGGAGACGATAAGCGCGTGAATGCGCGTGGCCAAACTTGGGCCTTGGGCTATAGTTTTCTAGGCCCCTTGGTCTAGATTGAAAAGGCTCACCAAGCGTCCAGCCCAATAAGTAGGAAAAACAAACAAACAAACGAAACTCACCACCAAGGCATAGCATGGTGCCATTTTAGGACACTGGAATCGAGAGGAGGTTGTAAGAGCTTGGGGCGTGGGGGGGCCTTCAAATTCCTGAGAGATTATTTCCAATTGTAACTTCCAATCTAAAACTTCCCCTTCTTAGGAAGCTACTGGAAGGCATGTTCTATTAAATAAGAGAGTACATCAAGAACGATGAATCCATGAAAGGAGCCAGGAAACAGGGGATCCACCTTAGGAAAGAGATGAGGGAATTCAGGATGGGGCAGGAGGGGGGAGGGATGTTTTTAGGGCGCAAGGAAGAACAAAATAAGCAAACAAAAAATGGATCCCCTGATATATTTGACCATATTGAAAGGGTTTACAGTTCTGATGAAGGGTTTAGGGTGAAATAGCAATAGGGATATAGAAAAAGAAGCAGATATATTTAAAAAAAAAAAGTAGTTTTTAACACCAGAGTAAGAAAGGAACTGTTCTGAAAAGTAAATATGGTCTGCTATGAATAATCTAAGTGAATGTTGCTGATGTACCCAAAGCTCTGTTATGATTTATTGGGGGCAATGAGGAAGGAAAAGTTGGGGGGCTAGAGGGTGTAGGAATCAAATCATTTGTGTTGTAGGAAGTCAGTAGATAACGTCTACAATCTGAAAAACTAAGAAGTATTAATTCTGAACAAGTGACCCTCTTTACAAACTTGAGACAAATACCATAGTGTTGAAAGTAGTTGCTTCGGGGGAGAATCAGAAGTGGTGAGGGTCAGGGTCGGGAAGGGGATTACTGTTTTGTTATAAGCTTTGTAATAGACTTCGACTTTTTAAGCTATGTATGTATTTTATAAGTTTATTGCTTTTTATTTTGAACAAGGGTGAAATTGAGTTGATGAAATGAACGTTTACTTGAGTCCACTGCTTTTACTATAGTAGCATGATGGTCGTCTAGTCATATGTGTTTCACTTGTTCATATCGGTTTTTGATTTGGCTTCCTTGGCTGACTGATGAAAAAGCGTATTCTGAGAAACATGAGTCATTCCTGTGTTAGTCTCCACATAGACCTTAATTTAGTTAATATCTATAAATAGCGTGCAAATCACCGCTACTACCTGAAAGTTATAAAAGGGGAATAATAATCCCCGCGCAGAAGCGGGGTGTTGGAGCCATGAAAGTGTACAGGCCCCCCATTAGCCTTCAGAGGCAGGATGGACCAAAAGTGGACCGCCTCCTCCTGTAAGTATTGTCCTTTGTCGCAGGAGCTTTCTTCTATTATGATGTAATTATCTTGTTTCCTTGGATCCGTTTTCATTTGTTTACTAATAGAGGAGTTCATGTAATGCTCACGTTACGTGATCAAAACATGCTTATGTAGTTTTATTTATGACATAAAATATCAGTAATATCAGAGTGTGACTGAACGTTATCAACCCTGAACATTATTCTTAGTCCACCCTTCTACTTCATTATATCAGAATTGAAATCCGTCCTTATCACCCGAACACGTCGCGTGTATACATTTTATTGGCACCCCTGGTATATTGGGAGAAGTGTGTTGGGGGGTGAGGGAGCTGCAAGAGATGATCTACTTCTTATTAGAAAGTCACAGATAATCTCTAAAGTTAAAAAATAAATTCAAAAGAGCCGGCAGTAATTGTCACTGATGTATTGGAAACAGGGATGGAGGGTTGGAGCAATGAACTGCTAGTTTTGTTAATAGCTTTAAAAACGACGTGCTTGTATTATTTTGATAAAATGAAAGAGGTGCCCCAGAAGTGTAAAAGGACCTCGTAACTTGGGTCTTTTCATCATTGATTTCTTCCTGTACCCTGACGTTAAGTACTTGCTTGGCTTCTACATTCACGCGCATACTAATTAGAATAAAATGGGTGTATCTTTTGCCTTTTGGACCTAATAGATTGCTTAGAGTATTACATTTAAAATATCCTGATATTCTTTTTTAACACGTTGTGTGTTTTCAAACTTAATACAAGCCCCTGCTGAGTTTATTCATTAGATGCAGGTTATTAAAAAAAAAATAACTTGACTTGCTCTGTCTAGTTTATTATTAAAAACATTCTGAATACACCTCATTTCTTGCCCTCATCCCTGCAGTGATAATTTCATTCCTCAGAAACTTTGGCAGCTAGTGGTTTATCAGATAACATAGGGAAGTCACTGCTGTATCCTAAAAATCTGATTTTATTATTTTTAGCAGTGAGTGTCCTAAACAACTGCTACTCATAATAAGCACCACCACAGGTTTCGCCTGGTTTTTTCTCTTGCAGTTATTAAGCGTGGAGATATGTCCAGAGAGTGGCTTTGTGTTTTTATGAGAGAAGAGGGATTAATTTACTCGTCAAGTGGGCTTTTCCTTTTTTTTTATAGTCAGTGTAGAAAACATGAAGCGGGGAGATTCCTGGAAAGGTCTTACTGGTTCGTGGATGCTGCTGGGAGGAACACAGGAGGATAGCATACACGTTCTGTCCTTCAGCTCTACCCATAATCAAGAACCTAGCCAGTTTATTAGCCAGTCCAGGGGAAGTCCCAATTTGAAATTTCTAAGTAGCTATTATTATAGCTTACCTTTTTAGAGTATTCTTATGTTCCTGGTCCTTTTTAAAGGGACTTGAAAGTATTACCTCATTTAATGTTCCCTATAATACTTTGAAATATATGTGAGATGAAGGTAATGTTTTTTTGGGGGGGGGAGGGGAGTTAACTTTTATAGCAAGAAGATTGTTTAGGTCCAGGTGGGGACTTGGAAGCATTTTCTTGCTCTTATACATATGTGTGTGGAAAATAATAAGCAAACTGTGTTCTAGAGCCAGTGGGCATCTGTAGGCTTTAATATAATCACAAAGAGATTCCATAGTCAGCATTTGAAGTCTAGAGTTAAAGATTTTTAAAAATAAATTATTTTTTAATGAGGTAGCATTGGTTAATAACGTTATATAAGTTATTAACATTATAATTCAATTCTACAACGCTATAATTCAATATCTGTATACACTATAGTGTGCTCACCACCAAAAGTCTGTATTCCATCCATCACCATATGTTTGACCCCCGTTACCCATTTTGCTGTGCCCCATCCCCCTTCCCCTCTGGTAAACTATTAATACCAGTCTGTTAGGCGGACCTTGAAGGTATTATGCTAAGTGAAATAAGTCAGATAGAAAAGGACAGAAACCATATGATTTCACTCATGTGGAATATAAAACAAAAAAAATGTGAACAAACAAAAACAAACTCATAGAGATGAATATTTTTAATTGAATTGAATAAATACTGTGATAGTCGACATATTCTTAGATATGTAGATTGAAAAGTATGAATGTTTTTCTAGGTGATCTTCAAATTTAATAAAATATTACTAGGACTGAGAAAATAGGTCTTGGCAGAAAGGGTAAATTTAACAAAGTGATTCTGAAATTTATCTAGAAAAAGCTAAATGAGAATCATGTAGAAAAACTCAAAAAGTAAGAGTAATAAGGGTGGCTGCACCCTATTAGGTGTTAAAGGACATCTTAGATATCAAAGCTTCAAGATACTGGTGCCATACTAGACAAACAGACCTGTGAACCAAAACATTCTGGAAGGTCAGAGACAGTGAACACATATTAAATCAGGGCTATCACCTATTCCGTAATGGGTGTGTGGCATGGAGCGCTACTTCACACCTCAAACCCAGGATGAATTTCTTATGAACTGAGGATTTCATTGTAAAAATTAAAAGTATTCAAAGAAAGGGTTGGTAATTATATAATCTTGTTGTGGGAAAGGGCTGCCTAAGAAGGTCATCCAGGGCCGATCACAGGAAGGAATAAAATACTACTAGGTTTTCCCCGTAAAAATGAAAAGCCATGTTACAAAACAAAACATACCTTTTCACCTAGAAAATCTGTGTGTCAGTAGCGATTCTTAAAGCGTAAGTTAGAAGTGTGGGGGTGGGGTGGAGGATGGGTGAGAAAAGTGGAGTACAAATTGGCAGTCACAAAATAGTCACGGGGATGTGCAATACTGCATGGAGAATATAGTCAATAATGTTGTAAAGACTATGTAGGGTGTCAGATGGGTACTGGAGACGTATCGGGGGGATCACTTCATAGATTATAAATGCCTAACCACTGTGCTGTATGCCTGAAACTAATCTAAAGTAATACTGAATGTTAACTATAATTAAACATATATACACACACACACACACACACACACACGTATGGTTACGGGGTGTAAAGCACAGTGCAGGGGATATAGTCAGTGGTATTGCAATAGCTAAGTCCGGTGTCAGAGGGGTAGTAGACTTGGTGGGGTTTTCACTTTGTGAGAGGTGTGAATGTCTAATCGCTGTAGTTTTGTACACCTGAAACTAATAATAGTAAAAATAAATAAAAGATGTAGTTAGAAAAAGGTTCAAAGGTTAAATGAAAATAAATGTTTATTGCAGTATTCATTAGTAACAGTATTTGGCTAACATATCCTACCATAGGCGACTGCTTAAACTGTGGACAGGTAGGCAGTGGAATACTACGAATTCACGGAAAATAAAGATGCAAAACTATACTTAGTGCCTTAGAATACCTTTTACACTGTATTAAATGGGAGAGAAGAAAACCGAGTTCAGAGTGGTAGGGATATATTACTTTATTTTACTTGGTTTTTAAAGTTTATGTGTATATTTTTATGTAAGGAAAAGTCTGGAAGTTTGAATGCCAAAATGTTAATTATGGTTACCTTTGGCTACAAGACTTCAAATGATATAAAGTTTATTTCTTTTCTTCTTACTTAACTGTTTTTTTGTTTTGTTTTGTTTTTCCATTCAGGAAGCTTTTATTGAACTGTTCTCCCCTCCCCTTTGTATTTTCTAGACTGATGGTTTATTACTTGTACTAAGAAGATTTGGTGTCACGTTTTTAGGAAGGAAATTACAGTTTAGAAATTTTTTCATTATGTGATTAAAATAATGCGTTGGTTGTTAAAGTGGTATGTTCAGTTATTTGGAAAATCCACTGATTTGGAACACGTTATTCATGGAAAGCATAGAATAAAATGAGACGTAGTGTGATGTGTTGAAGCAGTCAGCCAAAAATGACCCTACTAAGAGAAATATTTTCATTTATATGAAACTGATAGGTCATCTCTATCCAAAGTAACCTTTCTTCACCTGGGGGAGAGATGTCAGTTGCCTGCTGTCTGCATTGCTTTGTATTTGACTCGAAATGGGGTTCACATAGATTCATTGTGAAAGGAATAGGTTTTCAGTGATGAGTTGCCATAGATGCATATTTTTAATTTCTTTTTTTTTTTTTAATTCCAGGCAACTTCAGGAACAGCAGCGACAGAAGGAGCTGGAGCGGGAACGGCTGGAGAGAGAAAGGATGGAAAGGGAGAGATTGGAGAGGGAGAGGTTAGACAGGGAACGCCTGGAGAGGGAGCGCCTAGAACAGGAGCAGCTGGAGAGAGACAGACAAGAACGGGACCGGCAGGACCGCCTGGAGCGGGAGAGACAAGAGCGGGAGAGATTGGAGAGGCTGGACCGAGAAAGGCAAGAGAGAGAGCGGCAGGAACAGTTAGAAAGGGAGCAGTTGGAATGGGAGCGAGAGCGGAGGATACCAAGCACCGGTAAGGAGCTTACACGTCATTCCGCGTTCTTCATACCTGGGCTGGGAGGGTGGGCGATGTCTGGTGCAGCCATGTATTCGAATATTTCACATTTGAGATGCTTGGGATTAAGCAATATGATTGGAAATGGTGAAAAAAATCTGCAGCAATTGCTCCTTTAACATTTTCTTTTTATTTCTCTCTCTATGGCTTTTATTGCTTGGAGACATAAAGAAAGCTCTTGGAAATTTTTATTCCTGCATTCTAATTCTTCTCCCTCCCTATAAATTGGCTATAAAGTAGAAGTATGTTTTTTATGGGAAATTTTTTATATTGGAGGAGCTTGGACTATATTTCCCTTTTGAGATTGCTTAAATTGTCTTGAATACTATAGTATTATAGTACTGTAGTATTATAGTACCATTCAACAAGACATTTGCTTGATTGTATTCTTAAGTTATTGAAGGAGGAATTAAAAAACAGTAGGTGAAAAATATCCTCTCTAAAACTGACTAGTTATTGCAATATATTTTTTAATATTGCAGAAAAAATAGTGATAATTACTAAATCTGATGGAATTTATTGAAAGACCTAAGAGTTAAGATATGACTGAAAGTTTTGAGTTCCTTTGATATTCACTAACATGAACAATTATTGTAGGATTGAAGAATTATTTTTTATTCCATGTGGCCGATGTGAAAAGTCTCAGGGTGGGTTGATTGGTTTGTTTTTTAATTGCCTAATTATTTTCTGGGGTTATAGCCAGCAAAACAAAACTTTTCCTCAAGTAAGCATTGAATAGATACGGGGTTTCTAGCCCTTTACAATAAGTGCTTGCCAGGTTTGCTATTTGTTGTTTAAAAAAAAAAAAAACTACTGAACTTATTCCTCTGTTTGTGTTTCTATTCGTGTAATCTTAATGTCCTTTTAGTGGGCTAAATAATTGAAACTATGACTCTAGGTATTATCTTTTTCTTGTAAAGAATAAGCTAATCAATTGACTTGATCGATCTACTTATTAGATAAAAACGAAAACGTATTTCATTCTCTTTCTGGATCCCAAAGTGCATTTATGAGTTAAAACCCTTTCTTGGGGGAAATCAGTTATTTGCACACGGGCCTAATTCTCTGTACTAACTGTAGTCGACATTGATACATTTTGTCTGAATGCTGGTTTTGTGGCTTTACTAGCTCCCTTTTTCTCTCTCCTTTTTTATCCCGCCTTTTGCTGCTGCTTTGCACCTTCTGTCCAGCTCCATCTTCCGACAGCTCCCTGTATAGTGCCCCACTTCCGGAGTATGCCAGTTGCCAGCCTCCTTCGGCACCTCCTCCATCATATGCTAACGTCATCTCAGCTCCAGTGTCAGATGCCACTCCTGATTATGCTGTAGTGACCGCTTTGCCACCTACTTCCACACCCCCTACACCACCACTTCGACACTCAGCGACACGTTTTGCAACCTCTCTAGGGTCAGCCTTCCACCCTGTTCTCCCCCATTACGCTACAGCTCCTCGTCCTCTGAACAAAAACTCTCGGCCTTCTTCTCCTGTGAACACACCCTCTTCTCAGCCTCCAGCTACGAAGCCCTGTGCCTGGTCTACTTCCAATTTCTCGCCCCTCCCTCCGTCTCCTCCAGTCATGATTAGCAGCCCCCCAGGCAAAGCTGCCGGTCCAAGGCCTGTGCTCCCTGTGTGTGTTTCTTCTCCTGTGCCCCCGATGCCTCCATCACCAACAGCGCCCAATGGGCTGCTTGACTCGGTCACACAACCAGTGTCCCCGCCGCCTACCTCAGGGCCCGCAGCACCGCCTCCGCCCCCACTGCCTTCCCTCGCACCACTGTCACACTGTGGCTCTGAAGCGTCTCCTCCAAGCACCCCTGTTGCCTCGACTCCCTCATCCAAGCCTAGTGTTCTCCCTTCTCCCTCTGCAGCTGCCCCTGCCTCTGTGGAGACTCCTCTAAACTCTGTGCTGGGGGACTCCTCTGCTTCTGAGCCAGGCTTGCAGGCAGCCTCTCAGCCGGCCGAGACTCCAGCCCAACCGGGTAAGGCTTCCGTTATCGCTGCTAACAGCTAGTCGCTTGGAAAGATGACGTGTCCACCACGTTAAGTGCCTGGAAGAGTGGGGAGGGTGGTTTTGATGCTTGAACATCTTTCCACCAGAGTGCCATATAATCTGTCATTTGAACAATTAAAGCAGAAAAGAAATGTGCTTTTCTTTTCTGTTGGATTCAATTGGATTTGGAAGATTGATACAAAGGATTTCCGTATTGCACTAGAGTTTGACATCTTTGGCAGTATCGTCATTGGAGGTGTTTTGCAGTACGTAAGGCCCTCCATGATACATTTCTATTAAATTTCACTAGGAAAGCATTACTTCACACATTTGATGTATGCAGTAAATACATGATCTAAGTTGTCTTCCTTTAATTTCTGGAAAACTTAGACATCTATTTAGTGCCCAACAGTAGTCATTACATATACAAGCCTAGAATCTCCTGTGCATCAGTATGATCTGGGAACCTGTTTCATTTTGGCCTTTCCCATGTTGGACTTCCGGAGATGGGTGACACCCTAAACCCTGTGGAGCAGCCTGCCTTTGCGGGAGGGGGTGGACAGGATGGCAGGCTTGATGTGTGCCCAAAGGGCACCATGGTCTCAAATGGTAAGACGTTGCAGGCTTACAGGGATAGTTGAAAGAGAATAGCTTCTTCCGGTATTCCCTTCCCCCCACCCCACCCCTGTGCCTAAACCTTGCTGTCATGGTAACAGGGAAGGGAGGATATAATCTAAGTATGGATTATCTGTAAGTAGAGAAGGACCTGGCTCTGTAAGTAAATAAGAAGATGCTTAGCAACTCTCACCCCACTTTTTTGTGTGAATATGGAAGGAATATGACAACAAATTTGTACTTACAAAGAAACAGTCTGAATTTAAACACCTCTTTTTAGAAATCTTAATTCTTAAGATAAAGTAATAAGGCTTATTGTTGTGTATGTATTTTTCTTATTTGCATAAACGTTGAGTCAAAATTCTAGTTTAGTACCCCTGTGACAGCAATGCTGGCGTAAGGGCCACAGTTAGCCAGACAGGGTCAGACGGCTGACCTGCTCTGTCCTTAGAGCTCTGATAGCCTCTGGAAGATTGACAGACCACCACTTTCTCCTCTTCTTCAAGCCGTGTATGTTGTCAGCTTGTGTAACTGCTCAAAGTTAGCAGTTTCAAAAGATATACCACCCAGTGTGCAAATACCACTTAATTTGTCCCAAAACACCGCTTTTAAGCCTCGAGGAAGAAAGTACCTACTAGTTCAATTTCCTGATATTAAGTAAGTTCTAGTTCACTCTCTAAGAGTGGAACGTTTCTCTCTTATCCCGTCTTCTAGGCTGAAAAACTCTACTTCAAATTTCATTTAATTTAATGATTCCTGATAGTTACTTTCAGGCTTTACTTTGTATCAGTAGATTCCTTTACTTCCTGATTTTCAATTCTTGCTACACATTGAAGTTAGATGTGGAATAATTTAAGATTATGAAGTTTGGGACCCACGCCTCCTTCATGCTCTCAGTCCAGCCCCTTTGGTTACCTATAAACAAGTAAATATGTCTACCCTATTGTAGAATGTATTGTCTCAACACTTAGGTTTACCCAGATTATTTTGGGGTCTGTTATTTAAAATAGGACTAACTCCCATCATAGACACTATTTTGTTTGTTTAGGGATGCTGCCTCTCTTTTAAGTTTTACAAACATTTATTTCATTTACTAAATCCCCACAAACAAGAAAGAAATTCTGATTACACGATCGGTTGCACAGTTCTATTAATAAAGCTCTAGCATTAAAGTAAGCAGGTATATACTTTGGCTTTACATTTTAGTAATTTTTTAATGCTAGTCTAGACTTGAAACGTCCTGATAAATCGAACTCATTAATTAGTACGTAGTAAATGTTTGAGCCGTCAGTTTAATCTGGCATGGCATTCTGTGTACCTTTCCACACAAGATGATACCGGTTCGTTCTATGCTGATGGCCTTATTTCACGTTTCTTTCTCTCAGGCATTGTCTTGGGACCACCTGCACCCCCACCCCCTCCTCCACTCCCTCCAGGTCCTGCCCAGGCTTCAGTGGCTCTTCCTCCTCCCCCAGGACCCCCTCCTCCCCCTCCACTTCCGTCCTCTGGATTTTTTGCGGGATCCGTGTCAGAAGACAATCGCCCTTTAACTGGACTGGCAGCTGCAATTGCTGGCGCAAAACTTAGGAAAGTGTCACGGGTAAATGCATTTCCAAATTACTGTATTTTCTTCTGTGTGCCTTGTTCTTTCTCAGTGTCTAAAATACTGAATTTATTGTCTTCTAATTTTATGAACCCTATTTGATAAACTTCATTGATTTAAAAAATTGAAATAAGGGCCAGCCGAGTGGTTCAGTTGGTTAAGAGCTCGCTCAAGAGTTTGAGCTCTGAGCAACAGCGGTTCAATGCCCGGCCTGAGCTGAACTGCCGCTGAGCTGCCAACAAGTGGCAGGATGGCTCAGCTAAAAAAAAAAAAAATTTTTGAAATAATTTAAACTTATGGAAATAAGTTGCAAGAATAATATAGTTTCTGTGAACCCATCACTCGGACTCACCAGCTAACATTGTGCCAATTTCCCTCATTCTTTCTCTGTGAATGTTCCCTTCTGCAGAAACACCCACATACATGCACATTCCTCGTTTGTCTGATTTGGGAGAAAGTCAGAGACACCATGCCCCTTGTTTCTCTATATACTTCATTGTGTAAGAACAAGGACATTCAGTCACATGATCACAATGTAATTATCAAAAGGAGGAAACTTAATCGATAGAATACTATAATCTACAAAGTATTCCAATTTTATCTATTGTCCAATAATGTCTTCTATGGCGTTTTTTTTTTTCCTAGTGCAAGATCACCTGTTACGTTTAATTGTAATGTCGCTTTAATTTGCTTTGATCTGTAACAATTCCTCACTCTTTCATGATACTGACATTTTTGAAGACCGCAAAACAATTATCTTGTAGCTCATCCTCAGTTTGGTTTATCAGATGTTTCCTCAAGATTAGACCTGAGTTACACGTTTCTTGGGGCAGGGTATACATTTTTTTAACCAGTAAAGTAATAAGTCCGTTTCAGTGTATCACACAAGGGGCATGTGATGCAGTTTTCTTTTTTCCCATTATTGGGGATGTTAGTTTTGATAATACTTCCATTAACATATAAAGTCAATTGCTATTCACCCTATTGGTTCTTAAGAAGATTTAATATGAAAAATAGATGCTTTTATTGAAATTAATGCTTATATAGCCTTCTGTTTTGAATATAATATAGTAATAAACACGGGGTTGTCTAACATCGGAGTTTATTACGTATGTATGTTCTCATTAAGATGGAGGATGCCTCGTTCCCAAGTGGGGGGAATTCTGCATCGTCCAAAACAGACACGGGTCGTGGAAATGGACCCCTTCCTTTAGGGGGCAGTGGTTTGATGGAAGAAATGAGTGCCCTGCTGGCCAGGAGGTAAGTGAGAAATTACGTGGACTTGTCCAGAATTGGGAGTATTTTGTTAATTTTATTCCAAATACAAGTTAGCTAGATTCAGTTCTTCCCTTTTGGAGAAGTAGTTTTTATATAAGAGTTAGATGATTTTTTAAAAAAAATCCAATTTACCTTCTTTCTAGGAGAAGAATTGCTGAAAAGGGATCAACAATAGAAACAGAACAAAAAGAGGACAAAAATGTAAGTTTATAAAGATAGTCTACTACACCTGAAAATGTGAACTTCAAGCATCCATAGCTCATTCAGGAAATCGTGTCAAAGATTAATTTGAATTTAATTAAGATGAACTTACAATTGCTTATTTTTTACTCTTCAGGTATAAAAATGTCTTGTTTTGAGCATGAGTTATACATCTTTAATGGCATTCTTACATGGTGTTATGGAGAAAGCACTGAAGTTCAAACCTACGGAGGTTTTTTTTTTTTTTTAATTTTTAAAACTTTTTATTGGGGAATAGTGTGTTTTTCCAGGACCCATCAGCTCCAAGTCGAGTAGTTGTTTCAATCTAGTTGTGGAGGGCGCAGCTCACAATGCCCCATGTGGGGATCGAACCAGCAACCTTGGTTTTATGAGCACTGCGCTCTAACCACTTGAGCTAACTGGCTGTCCTCAAACGTACAGAGTTTAATTCTGTACCTAAGCCAACCATTAAACGAATGAATGATCTTTTGCTAGGTTTTTTTGGTTTTTTTTCCTGAGGGTCTGTTTCCTTGCACTGAAAATGAAGGAATAAGACTCAGTCAGCAATTTTCAATTGTTTCCCCTAAGAGCCCCGTGTTATAGGCTATGCCTCCCTCCCCGGTTCAGCTGGGCGAACTCTGCTTTATCTGTTCTGCATATTGGCGTGGAACCAACAATAGAATTGTTTTTCTTGCTACATTGGGCCTTCTTTGATGCCATTCCTCAAGCCTGTCTCTCATATCTGGCCTAATAACCTTGACTAGTGCAGTTCTCAGTGAACAAATGAGGGAGGGAGTATGGGATACAGGAGGGAAAACGCGAGGAAGGTAAGAGAGGAAAGAACCCTAAAATAGACGGGGGAGAAGATTGACAGAGGAACAAGTGGAAAAGGGCGGACGGAACCCTGGAAATGGAAGGGTAAAACACTACACACATACAACAGGTTTCGGGTACATGTGATAGTATTAACATGGATTTCTGTGTTTTTAGGAAGACTCAGAGCCTGTAACTGCTAAGGCCTCTTCAACAAGTACACCTGGTAAGTTCAAGAGATATATTTTAACCTTTATAAACTCACTCTAAATAGTAAGACTCCCCAGTTAAAAATCCCCCGTTTTCCCATATTTGCATTAGGGGACTGCTCGGTCCCTAAAATGGTCAAGTTTTTGTTCACACTTGCAAGCACTTACCTTTTTTCCTCTGCTTTTCATTAACCCGGAAGCACCTGTTAGTCGCCTTCTGATACTGGGAGATCCGCTAAAACCCAGAGTTTCTATCTGATGACTCATTCTTTGAAAATCATAATTTTTACACATCCTTGTGTATTATTGATTTGAGGTTATTGGCTAACACAACAAAAAATACATTATCAGGTGAAATGAAAGTATTTTTCATAATTGATGCTTAAAGGTAAAGCTTAAGTGAGCATGTTAGCTAGCATGAAGTCTATTTCAAAACATTTTCAAATTGAGAAGGTTGCCATCTTACCATTCATTTGGGTAATAATGATAAAAGGTCTCCTTACGGCTTTTAGGAAATGTTCTTGAATTTAGTGCAATTTCTGACATTGAGAACTCTTGGGCATAGATTATATTACTTAGAATATTAACAAAATATGGAAGTGCTTGATGAGTACTATACCCATGGTGGGAATATGAGATTGTACATATTCACATGTCATTTCTTTATACTTGACTAAAAGACTCGGGGCTGGACTATATATTCACCTCCTTATCTAATTTGGAATAAAGTGACATAAATACATTTGATGAATTAATACCTAGAATGATCCACAGGAAACCATTATAGAGAAATGTCTATATTAATTCTTACTTGATTTGGAGACTACCAGCTGCGTCTGATTTCCACTTTTTAGAAAACGTACTTCTGCTTTTGTGATTGTAACCCATTTGGAAAAACAAAAAAAAATCATTCACATTAATGTGACTCTTCAGTAGTCTGATTGCCGTATTATAATTAACATTGCAACTTTGTGAACTACTTTCCCTCTGTTCCTTCTTTTACCTCTGAATAGGACTCAAATCAGTTTACATTATCTTTATTAAAAATTATCTGGTTTGTGGGGCCGGCCGAGTGGCTCAGTTGGTTAAGAGCTCGCTCAAGAGTNAGTCCAGCCCGAGCTGAGCAGCCGCTGAGCTGTCAACAGGTAGCAGGATGGCTCAGCTAAAAAAAAAAAAAAATTATCTGGTTTGTGACACACTTATTTTAACTTTATCTTTCTACTGTAAGCCCAAATTAATTATATATGCTGTTATTAAGACCATAGATATTTTAGAACTCAACTATAATTTAAGGTCACAGAACCTTATTAAAATTTGAAAAGAGCCAGGAGCCCTCTCTTCAAGGAGAGAAAAAAATCATATTTTTATACAAATTTGCTCATAATTTCAGCATTTTCATGAATTTCTGAGGGTCACCCATGGACCCCAAATTAAAAACTCCTTATCTAATAAGTATCCCCTTATTTAATAAAATAGGGAAAACCATAGCATGGATGTGTGTGTGTGTGCACCATTTGTACAAAATCAAGGATTCAGAATGGTTGAGGGCTTTTTTTTATCACCTGTTTCATTTAGGTTGTTTATTATTACTATTTTTTAATTGGCATTGTGTCAGACACGGGACAAGCCAAAAAGAAGTGAAAGATAAAGTCCTGAGCTCAAGAAACTCATAGTCCAACTGAGAAGATCACACACACACACACACAAACATACAACACATGTTACAGCCACATGTTAAATATTAAATAATGTGTCCAAGAGGGAGGACATTGTATAGCCTGGAGTGACCTGGGTCATCTCTGTAGAGAAAAGTGACATTTTACTGTCCCTTGAAGAGTATTCAGTTTGGCTGAGAGTAGGTGATATTTCAGGAAGTGGGTATAGAGCATGCGCACAGATAGGGAGCTGGAGATGAGCAAAAAATAGATTAGGAAGCAGCAAGTTGACTCTCCTGATTAGGATGGAGAATTCTTTTTGAGGAGTGTTAGGAAAAAGGTTTGGAAAAGCGGGTTAGAGCCAATACGTGAAAGCTTTTTAATGAAAAGATCAGGAGTTTAGACTTGATCCTGCGAGGAGTGAGTTCACAGTCAACTGAAACTTTTAGGAACATTAAAATGGCAGTTGTGAGCAAGTGTGACGTAGAAAGTGACTGAGGTAGGGCAACTAGTGCCAGAAGGATCCCGCGTCTCCAAAGACCTGAGATAGGTAACCCAGTCTCTGTGCTTCTGAGCGCCCCCTAGAGACAGGATAGCCTCACTACCTGCAGGGCTGCACTGAACTGCTCGACCTCAAAACGTAAAGGAGCCCTTTTAAGATTAAAAGATGGTGTCGCTGATTGAGAAAGGACCTCAGCCAGCTGGTAGACATGTTACCACTTACTACACCTGATCACATTGGAATTATTTCCTCATCTCTCCACGTGCCTCTGTTTTAGTGACAGTGTCCTGATGACCCTTCCCCTGCCTGTCCAGTTGTCCTTCATTTCATTCAGGACTTCCCTCTTTTCACCTTCTCTGGCAGATGTTTCTTAGATGTGTTTCAGAGTCTGTCTGTCTCTTCATCTGATTATTTGATGTCCCCTGGTCAACGCTGGTGGTCGATGAGAGAATGTATTAGCTGCTAGAATACAAAAGAAGGAACAACAAAGTCTAATTAAAAAGGGAGAAATTGGTGATTGATTGGTGAGGAGGAAAGCATGATGAATGATGACTTTTAGGTTTCACACCTAGATGACTAAATGCAACAGAAATCCAGAACAAAAGTACTGTTTCAAGGGAGAGTTTGCATTCAGCTTTGCATATGTGCAGTTTTAAGAGAGGACAAGCTACCACCTAAGTAAGAAAGTACAGAAGCCAGTTGAGGGGCTCCATTGGAACTTGGAGCAGTTTGCTTGTTAAAACTGCAGTGAAATCACAGCTCAGACTTAGACTTGGTTCTCATGTGGCCTAAATGCTTCCATGACAGGTCTGCACTCCTGATTCCACACAGTCATCAGTGGGTCAGCCCAAATTAGAAAAATACAGCACAATAGGCTGCTGACCAGTGAGTCACTACATAGTATCTTCTGTGGTAAGGGCTTAGAGTAAACTTATTTATATTTAACTGGAATTATCTGCTAAGTCCCAAGAGTTAGTTTGTTTGAGAACCGAGCAAGTTCAGTAGAATTTCATGATTCTGAAATTTATTTTGAACTGTTTGAATGTTTTCCCAAGAAGACTATTTGATTTTAGATCAAATACTGAAGTTTATGAACACATTAAAGATTCTACTTTTTATTTGTTTTACCATTGGCACTAAGAATAGTTTAAAATAGTTAATACTGTCTCAGTCTAATAAATTTACACTATCTCTTAGTTTAAAATAATTTATACTATTTAAACTAATTAAAAATATCCTACTCTTATTCTGATTATCCTATCTTTATTAGAGCAACTTCTTTCATCTGGAGTTCAAAATGATAGTATTTTAGATTTAACAATCTAAGTATATCCTGGGGAAACTTGTCACACTTGCTTATTAACTTCTCATTTTAAGGTCTGAAATTATACAAATTAGAATCTTTATAGATTTTAAAATTCAGAATTGAAATTAATATTTTTTTATTTATAATATAATGTAAACCTGTATAATAGTATTTAACATTTTACTTGTTTTAAAATAACTGGGAACATATAGGATATTTAATACTTTATGTTCTTTATTTTTAAAGAACCAACAAGAAAACCTTGGGAAAGAACAAATACAATGAATGGCAGCAAGTCACCTGTTATCTCCAGGTATCAAATTTTTTTCTGAGTTTTATGTTATATTTATATCTAAAAAGAAATTGACATCTACATTTTTATTGTAGAAAAAATGGAATGGTAGATTTGAAATTGTGCTATGGAGCAAACAGGACACCTAGAATCTACTATGGCTGGGCAACCACCACTGAACCTAAAAGAAGCTTCTCTGTTTTAAACCAAAAAGCAGCTGGAGAGAAAAAGACTGGAGCGTTTAAGAGAGAGCAAAATAAAACCTAAAATTTTACATTTGTAAAGTAGATTTATTGCTCTCTCCGTTGAAACTTCTAATTATATTAAAGTTAGAAAAGATAGTGCCCAGAAACAAGACTAGTTAATTCATGTTTCTACAAGTGGCTGTGTGGGCACGGTTGAGGAAATTCAGTATTTCTTAGCTCGGCATACTTTATTATCATAACTAAATTTCTATCACAGGTCTGGAATGTAAGTGAAACTTTTTCTTGGTTTATGAGACAGTTTAAAGGACTCTTTCCCCCCGCTTCCCGCCCCAGACACAAAACATATTTTTCCTAGAAACAAAAGAGGGATTTTTTTGCCTTTTCTTTCTGAGGTATTTGCCTTATTTTTGCCTCATACAAAGCAAACTTGACTTGACTTATAAAAACCTAATAAAGAAAATGACAAGGGTGGACCGCATATCATCACAGGCCTGGTCTGTGTTAGCCTAAATCTAAATTTGGATTTTGTGTGGTTCTTTCTGATGGTAGGCAAGATTTGGTCAGGACAGAATTGTTTAAGCTCCACAAAAACACTGGGCCTTTTGGAATGTATAGATGCTTTTAGTTTGTAAGTGACTGAAAGATGGGTATATTTGATTTTAGAGGAAAATGCAGGAATTTATTTTTTCAGTAGAGTGGGAAAATTGAACATTTGTGTTTCTCAGATACCTAATCAATGAGGCCTTCTAATGCATCTCCAGTAGTTGTTACTGATTTTCTTCAGTAGCACATTATGAAGCCTGATTTATCAAGTACATGTCAGTCAGAGAACAGAACTGCGATGTGCCATTTGTCCTTTGAAGGTGTAAATTGTGACGGGGAAGAATTCTTTCTCCTTTGCCACTACTGTTCATCTCTGCTTCATCGATAGGAATTCCATAGCTGTGAGCTTGCCTGCAGTGAAACCGAAATTCATGGCAAAGCTGTATCTTAGAAAGAACATGGAAGAGGCCCTTCAAATGGAATGTTCCTTGATGTGTTTGAGTTCATTTAGTGAAGGAAAAAATATTCTTTGAAAGATTTTTCAGACTTCTAAAGGAAGTTTAATAAGCATTTGAAAGGCCACCATTTAAAAAGTGTTTTTATACAGAGTAATCCAATATTGGTTCTTATTATTAAGGAGTGCCTTGTAATCATGTTCTGATTGTAATAGATGATTTTCCTCCAAGTGTGCCTCGTCCTTGCATGATAGTGAAAGCACCCATTTCTTTTCTGAACATCCGCCTCAAAATATGTTAGGGGTAAGATGGATTAATATCCTGTAATATGCATGAGATATTACATTATGCCGTATTTATTCAGTGAAGGTGTCAGATAGAATAAAAGCAAGAATTTGTAGTTAAAATTGTTTTAAACTATGACTGGAATGTAACGTTGGAAGGCTTGTGAATTCTTACTATGGTTTTTAAGAGCTTACAGATTTTGCGTTCAAGATGGAAAAAAATGTTTGTTTTTTTCTTTGTTTTTTTTTTATGGCAGTAAGTCTTTATTTTTCATACAAGGTGCCACTGCAGGTAACCAGAGAACACACTAGGGAAAAAATGTTCTTACCATGCCTCCTGAGAAGAGTTAATTTTGTATACTTCAAACTAAAATGATTTTTTTATTGTGCTTTTTATTTGAGGTGATAGCTTTATATTCACTCTAATAGAAATGTCTTTGTGTTTTAATACTTGTTGAATCTTTGTGTGAGTAGATTTGATTGTGTGTACTGTCTATAAAAATAATAATTTTAAAAAATTCTTTGTAATTAAGTAAACAGTGTCCTCACATAACTAGAATTAGTTTCCAAATACCTTTTTTATTTGAAAAAAAAGATTATTTTAACTAATAGACTCCTTTAGTTTTTACTTTGTTTACACTGACTAAAAACCTATAAACAGTAACGTAATGAGAATTATTTTTTTAAGTTCTATTGTACACCCCTTTAAATGGTTTTTCCCCTTCATAGACGGGATTCTCCAAGGAAAAATCAGATTGTTTTTGACAACAGGTCCTATGATTCATTACACAGGTATCATCCTGATGTGATTTTGTGATTTGAGACTTTTAAATAACATGTTCAGGATAGGGTTGAGCTTTTTCTACGTGGATTGGTAATCACCACAAGGGAGATATTTAGGAAGATTGAATCTATCATGTTTAGCTTTACTTAGAACACTTTTTAAAAAAACATTGTAAGAGATTTTAATTAGAAAAATGAATGGTATTCATTTCCTGCCATGACTTTATAGTTGGATTAAAATAAATATAAATGGTAAACATCAGAAATACTAGAATGGGAATCTAAGGCCATATATCTTATATCTAGGGTGTTCGTAGCGTTTGCATTTTCTTTTAAAGGCTGTTTGTTCTCTTTCTAAGTATGGGATAAGGCTTTTTAAAAATGGAATAGAAGATCCTGTACTGTTTGACACTTGAACACGGGGCAGTATTGTGGCCATAATTGTGGATAATTTATTCTTTGAGGAAAATCTCTGTTTCCTAGGCACTTTATAGTGAATTGAGTATCTTTAACAACCTAGCATCGAACATCCTGTGCAGATTATTGGTTTTCTAGCATGAGTCCTATTATACCATTTTTCAATTAAGGAAACAACACGTGAATCTTGTGTTTCTTTCTTAATTAAAAAATTGACAATCTTTTAAAATTCTCAAATGCTCAAGCTATATTTAGAGTTAATTTGGCAGAATAGGAACTTAAATATTGTAGGAGCTATTTTATAGGTAGGGAGCTAGAGACAACACTCTCATTACGAAGTAATAAAAACCTCTGAGAAACCCTCATATTTTGTTACCAATTATGGTGAAAACCCATAGGTTGGAAATAACTGAGATTTACCCATGTTACTATATGCATCTGTTTTTAAAGATACACGTCAAATCCACTGGGAACATGAATTAAATAATATTGGAGGGGGTGTTTATGGCAGTGAGTAAGGAGCTCTGTAATCAGACTCTATTTGACCAAATTGTTAATTAGCTAAAATTATTTTCATGCCATTGGTGATTAAAATATTTGATAAGTTTATTTTGTCAGCCAGTTAAATCTCCATACAATGTGTATATTACAATAGTGAATTCTTTTTCTTTCTGCCTTTTTTGGGGTGATTTAATTTTTATGACCCAAAGACTTAATTAGGAAATTTGCTAGTTCATAGGAGGGAAAATAGCATTTAACAATGAGATTTGCTCTTGTAAATCTTCTGTTATCTTGCTGCTTTCACACATAGTACCTCTTGGGACAGTGTTGTTGGCAAACCTTTGTTTTAAAAAGTGGTGATTACTTCTTTCCTTCAGTATGAAAAGTTCCCCCCTTTAGTTAATTATGGTGGTGGTGGTGGTTGGTGGTGGTGGTGGTGGTAGTGGTGGTGGTGACGGTGGCGGTGATGGTGATGGATTGCATGTTAGCATGAATTCAGTTTTTTTAAAAAGTGCATGTTTCCACAATTGTTTATTATATAACAACAATAATTTTTGGCGTTGTTTAGTAAATGTGGATATATTCATAACATACGGCCTGGTTAAGTAGCAGGCTAAAGTTAATTACATGAATTTCAGGGGTACTCATCATAACATAGGAGAAAATAATTAGCTAGGTATACCACTTAAATGTGAAAAGCAAAATGAAAGCAGAGTAATGATTAAGGATTTCATTCTGGAGAGCAGGAATAGACAGCAGTGGGTAAATGAAACGCACAGCATGTCGACTGTTCAGAATGTTCGACTAGACCAGACTGCATGGAGTGCGAGATTTGCATACTGTGGACCTCAACTCATCTTAAGTGACTCTGGAATTAAGTAGTCTCCTCAGCAAAGTAAAAAGGTGTATCATCATCGCAGGAGGAAAGGAAATGTGTCATAAATCTTCTTATCCCCAACAGTGCTTACCTCAGTGCTTATTGAATGAAGTTTTCTGAAAGTTATTATTTTCCTCGTTCATATGAGCATAGCAGCAGATAGCTAATGAAATAAAATTGGCTGACTTGCTTCACAGCAACCTTTTAAACAGTCATATGTTTGATGTTAAAGCAAATTAACTCAATATTTCATCTTCACAAACAATGCCTATGGGTTTGAGGTATAATTTGCCTTGTAAGAATTGTGCAGCTGTGACTTTGGGAAAGTTATTAAACCTATTGAGTCTTGGTTCCGATTTCTTAACATTGGTACTCGACAAAATTGAAAATATATGGCTTGAGTAATGGTTTTAATTTTCATTGATTTGTGGCCCTTAAAGAATGGCCGCATACCATACTAAACCAGAAAATAGAGGAGAACCCAGTTAAAATTCTAGGTTTTCCACTGAGGATTTTCTTTTATTGTCAGAATTGGAAAGGGAGCCATGAAAGATTTATTCAATATCAAAACTTTTGCTTAAAATATACCTAATCCCTAAGACTTATTTCTTCAAGTAAAGTTTTTAATAGAAGCTAAATATTTGAAAGTGCAATAATAATTGACAATCAACTTCTGTGTGGCATTACCTTTTTTTTAAACAAAATAAGTCTATGGAAGTAGCCAAAAACACACCATTCAAGTGACATCTCCATAAGCACAGCATCAGAAAATAGCCACGTAGCCTGGATATGGATAGACTTTTAACTTAATAATCATTTTCACAACATTTATTTATTTTGATGCCTGAAATGGAATAAAACATATATCAAAAAAATCATGCTTACTAAAATGTTTTTTTCCCCCTACAAACCAAGGTATAGAATTTGTCAACTGACTGATGATATTAGAGTAAAATATTTGTCTTCATATTTTCCCTTCCACTGGCTTGTCAGGTATTTTGTAGATAATGTACCATTTCAAAAGGAGGAGAAAACAAGATTGTGTCACGTGGGCCTCGGATGTTGCAGCCAGCCTTTCGTTTGTGTCTCAATCAACGTCACATGTCACCTGGTTACCTGCCTCTTGCCCAAAGAACGGTGTCTTCTGCTCTTGACTGAAAAAGCCTCGTCATCTTACCACCTTTTTCTAATTCCTTCACAAATAACTGAAAATACTGAGAAGAGTAAAAAATGTTTTCTGTTTGCTGTTCTAATCAGTCCTCCAACTTGACAATTAACTTTTTAACACACTGTGTTTTAAGACATGTACTGAAATCTGGTGTTGGGTTGGTAAATTTACAGTTGCTTATGAATTCATCAAATATCCTAAGTGTTGTTTACCTGTCCTGGAAATTTCATTTGTACAGACCAAAATCTGCACCTTCATCCCAGCCCAGTGCCAACGGAGTCCAGACAGAGGGCCTGGACTACGACAGACTGAAGCAGGTAGGAACCCACTGACAGCTGTCCTTTATTTGTACTTGCCTTTTTAACAGAATACAGTAATACCTTGGTTTGCAAGCATAATTCGTTCCGGAAACAAACTACTCATATTTCAAGACATCGCTCTTTGACCACGTTAAAATGTATTAGAAATGTTTGCTCGTCTTACGGAACACTCGCAAACCAAGTGACTCGCAATCCAAGGTTTTACTGTACCTTGTAGGCATGTTTGACAGATCGTGAATGTACTTAAAAACAATATAGAGTTACGATATTTTTCTTCAAATTAAGCAATGCCATTCGTACCATATTCTTTTTCTCAAATACCCAAATCCTCATTTTTTGGCTCAGTGAGTTCGAGAAAGTTCCAGGAGTGGCGATGGTTTAATGGGATAGTGTAAACTAGAAATGTAAGTGCATGGTATACAGTTGTTAAAAGTCGGGGTGGGGGCGCCCACTTTTCAGCTACATTGGCAAAAATGGACATAGCAAATCTGGCTTATAAAACAATGTGAGGAAAATAGGCACTCTTGTGTACTTCTGCTTTGGGAAAATAAATCAAAAGTCTTAAATGTCTTACCTTTGAACCCAGTAATTTCACTTCTAAGAATTTGTGCTAAAAAAATATTGTAGACGTATATAAACATACAGTATGGGAGAGGGCTCTGCAGCCATTAAGGAATATAATGGAGAATATTTAACAATGAACAATTAATATTTAACAATGAAAGCAGTGCCTCTTAGTAAAGCGACTATCAGCTTTGCAGACCCGAGTACAGATGGGCCTGTAATGAAAAGTTTAAGCTGTCTTCTTGCCCTGCACTGCAGGATAGCCTCTGAAAAGAAAGTGGTACAAATCACTGTAATAGCATCCATTGACTGACTGTCTGCTGGACTCACCAGGCATTCGCCAGGTTGTCAGCATGACAGTGTCTCCTGATCTTCAGTAGTAGTCATATCATGTAGTGTTCATATTCAAATCCTGTACACCTGAGGTTCACACAAGTTACATTTACCTAGTCCCATAGCTAAGTAGGTAGTTGAGTGAGGATTAGAACCCCAATGTTTCTTCAAAGCCCATTTTCCCCATTCTGTCAGCCATTTTTTAAAATGCTGGCAAATATGTGAGTGGGGCTGAAAAAGGGACCAATAGTGTTGCAGTAATATGAGTTTAAAGTAAAAGTTAAATAAGAATTAAAGAGAGAAATAGTAACCATAATTTTATATAAACCTAGTTTTTGTACTGCAAAGCTATTTGAAAAGTTAAATTGAGTTATGTAATTTGAAAGGGAAGCATGTGGTCATTGATTATCAAACCCTGTTTTCGTGTGTATTAAATAATGGCTTTCCTTCCTTGAAAAACGCTTTAAAACAGAACACTCACATGCACTTTGAAATATGGCAATTTCTTGACTTATCTGGAGTAGTGGAGCAGAAGAGGATAGATTTGATTTTAAGGCTGCTTTTAAGATGAATGAAAAATAAAGATATCTGTTAGTTCATAGAATAACTACTGTGCCTCTGTTTCCTCATTGGTAAAATAGAGGAATTAAGCGAATTGATAGTTTCCAACTTTATTTTAAACATGAAAAGCTTTTTTTAAAAATGAACCTTAAACACAGAAGAGCAATTTAATTTTACCTGAGACGTGTGCAGTATTAAAGAAAGGCACATAATTAGAAACTAACCCTTCCTAAAGGATAGCTGTTATTTTTCACCCATTAAATGTGTGTCACCTTGTCATAGCCCTTTCAGTTCTGGATCATTTTTTAACTGGGGGGTGGAGGGAGTGTCCATTATTCCAAATTGAACTTAATAAGAGATTTTGCAAAATACATAAAGACGGAGTGGTTTTCATGGAGGTAGGAGGGTCCAGAGTAAGAAACGGGTGAAATGTCAAAATAGTATTTCAATTGTAATCAATATTTTAAAATTACTAATGAGTTACTCTACATTATTTTCTTCATACTGAATTTTTAAAATCTGGCTTACGTCTTAACGTTTACAATGCATCTCATATCGGACTGGCCACATTTTGGTTGCCCGGTAGCTACGTGTGGCTGGTGTCTGCCATACTGGACAGGGGAGGTCCCGCAGGCCCCGTTCACCTTCATCTCCACATTCAGGCAGGCCCTGAGGGCCCTCTAGGGGACTCCTCGATTCCTTGGGACGTAGTTTGGCAGCTGTGATGATCCCTAAAGAGTCCCTGTACTTCAAACCAGGCAACAGATTTGCCCAGAGCTGCCTGTCCAGTGTACTTATCTTCTTCCCTGGAACTTATGTGTGCATCACCCCGCAGCCTGCTCCCAGAAGGTCAGGTTAAAAGCAGAGCTGTCATATTTTCTAGGAAATATCTGAAACGTACATGTCACTGAATGACAGCGTAATTATTTTAGTTTTAGAAAGCATTCTGTGTCATATCGTGCTAGGCTAGAATAAGCAAAGATTGGGAAGGGAAAACTATTCAAACAGAATTTACCAAGGTTAATTTTCAAAGCCATAAATGGTGGCTCTGGAAACAAAAACCATACGTCATGTTTCATACATTCTTAAAATGGATGTGAGTAAGAAACTTTTTAGCAGCAATTTTTTTTCTGTATTCCTGATGTTTTTCTCTAATATTTTAGGACATTTTAGATGAAATGAGAAAAGAATTAACAAAGCTAAAAGAAGAGCTCATTGATGGTGAGTGTCGAAACACATTTGCTGCCCCTATAGAGTCATGTTTAAGAATAGCCATTTTTAAGAACTCGCAGATAAAGCATATCCAGTTTATTACTTGAAGGCATAAAACAGTTATGCCTTCGCTTGTTTTGGGGTGTCAGGGAAGAGCTCTTGCTCCTTCATCGAATGGAAATTACATTTGGTAATGCCTTGGTTTGCGAGCATAATTGGTTCCGGAAACAAACTACTCGTATTGCAAGACATTGCTCGTTTACCACGTTAAAATATACTAGAAATGTTTGTTTGTCTTGCGGAACACTCGCAAACCGAGTTACTTGCAATCCAAGGTTTTACTGTATTGGTAAAAATAGGAATAAACAAGATCCCTAAGTTTTAGGTGTTGAGTGATTGATGGACAACTTGGTGAACAAGGCTCGCGAGCTCCGTCTCCTCATCCACCCCATTCCACTGCCCTGTTCTTGAGCCCACAGAGTCAGTGTTTTCATTTGGTATAAAAAAGGGAGAGAATAAATAAATATATACACATGTGGAAATTAGTATCATTTTTGTAATCAGGAAACAAAAATCTGTGCACTGAAAGTTGCAAGATCAGTGCATCTTTTTATTACTGCGAATTCGAATACTGTCATTAAAATTTCTTAAGATTGAGTCACTCATTTATTCTATCTTATTGTTATATTCACTTTCAACACTTTTCCTTTTTCTACCCAGCAATCAGGCAGGAACTGAGCAAGTCAAATACCGCCTAGAGAAACAAACTAAGGAGAGATAGGACTTTAATCTGGAGAAAGAAAAAAACAAAAACAACCTACAAACAACAACTGTTAACAACAACAAACCCCTACATTTTGTGAGCTGTGAGAAGAAGATGGAGACAAACAGTTGGAAGGCGGGAAAAACCAACATACTTTGAAAGCCTTCAGACATTATTACTCTGGCGATAAGCTATTTCCCTCCCAGTTTGCTGCTTTTTTTTCTGACCTTTACAACAGGATGCAAGAGAGTTCTATAAGAGTTCCTCTAACAGTTATGCAGAAAATACTAAGCCCATCAGGCAAGATCACCGCGCATTGAAATATTTTCACGTCAAGATAAAATCGCTCATTTCCCACAACCCATTGCTAAAATAAAGAGGAGAAAGGCTTAAAAAGTTTTTTTTCAGAGTGCTGATGAAGAATTCAGCAGGTTATGCTATTGTATTGTAAATGTTTCTCTCAGGTTTGTCTTCCTATCATATTATTCCATGAATATTGAGATCAGCCCTGTGTAGGTTAAGATCATCAAATATGGAACAAATGGAAATTGTATGTGCTTTCAAAGGGTGATATTTATAAGAAAGTGTCCTAAAAATGACTTGTCCAGCTTGAAGAATTTTAGAATGATAGGAAGCCTCTTGAATTAGCCTTCATGCAATTTTGTAGATGAAAACATAAAATTCGTCCAGAATTTAAAGATTTAGATGCCTTCCTAAATTGTTACAATGCTTTACCAAATCTATGACTCCTACATAACACAAACCAGTGGTCAAATGTAAAACAATATATTGTAGATTTACTGTAGGTTTTCAACCTTTTTTAGATTTATGCATGTGGACATTTTTATAATGTAATTACAACCACCACAAAATTAGCTTTTTTAATTGCAGACAGTAATGCATGTCACATAATACGTAGTGGCCTTTTCAAGGCCTAGTCCCAGGGAACACATTTTGTAACGTATAGGGGAGTGGGAGGAAGGGAAGGAATAATTTTTTATTTAAAGTTAATTTCTGCACTATAATTTTTCTCAATTACCTGCATGAAAAAATAATGAGGACTATTTTGTGACTTTCATTGGTAAATATGTTCACAGAACCAAGTACTTAATCTTTACATCATGTCTTCAGCTATTTGTATTTGAACTTCAGCAGTTTCAATGGCCTGAAACATGATTCGGAGTTTCACATGAATTGTATCTTCCTGTGGAACTCAAATGTTTGCTCCCTCACTTTAGCAGTTAGGATTACCTAGGTGCCCTGGGGTTACGCAGGGTTCAGGTAACACGCTCCTGACTACGAAGCTGCTTTTGAATTTTGTTATGTTGAATTACAAGAAGTGACAATGATGGCAGCAGTTTAGGTCACAGAAATAGTTAGGTAAGGGGACACCCATGAGGAGTTCTGTAAGTTTTCTTTTTAATAAATAAAGAGAGACTTAGGTGGTGGGAACAAGGAATTAGATACTCTACTTACCGCTGTGTGTGTGCATGCGTGTTTGTGCACGCACACACGTGTGTATGTAATCCACTCCTTTTGAAATTTATAACATTAAAATAGGGGAGAGACCCTATATGTTGCAATGATAGTTTTTTGTTTTTTTTTAATTTAGGAAATCAGAAATTCTCCAGGGTCTCCATCTTGATTTATGCTTAAGTTGTTAACGTGCCATAATTGCTTTGAAACCTTTGATTTTTCAGAAGTTTTACTAAAAATTTTGAAGAAATAATCCATTTTCATCTGCTTTCTAGATTTCTTACATTTCAGTTCATAAAGAAAAAGCTTGTTGATAGCATAGTTTTCTAAATGCTGCAGATTTGCAGCCATTATCACTTCAAAGAGGTTTGAATGAGGGAATTTTTTTTCCTTGTTAAAATAGTTCCTGTTTCTGTAGAAACTTCATTTTTTGGATTAATCTGTGATGGATGAGCTATCATAATTCAAGTATACAGTTCTTTTTTTCTATCAACTGTTCCTTGTCATGCAAAGTAGTAAAGGCATTAAAGATGCAACAAGCTTATAAAGTACTGTTTTCTAAAAGAAATAGGCATTTTCATCTTTATTATTGTACTTTTGGTTATGTGAACACTTTGATGATATGAACGTTTATGTCCCCTATAAATCTGGTCAGAAATAACTTTTTGATTTTGTTGGTTACGTTAAATAGTCTATGGTAGGATAGAGTACTCTGGGTAGCAGTGGTCCACAGTGAGATAAAAGACTACAATAAAATGCTAGATCTTAAAAAAGAAACTGGTTTATGCACTAAACGTTTTGTGCCTTGGTCTAATCTTAACATGATGTCTGTAAAAATGACAAAAAGAACCAGTGTTGAATCATGTTCTAGTTTCCATCATTTTGCATTATCCCAGATTGCTAAATGTGTTCTTTCCAAGAAGTTTGATTGAATTACTGTATACATTTACTGTCCCACGTGACAGTTTTGTCATTGTCAGAGATTTCAGTAATTAAAGTGGGAAACAGAAGCTTAAGTTATTTTCCTTATCAAAACCATGTTGGAACCACGTTCTTCTGATGGTTTTCGTGCTCTTGTAACATTGGATGTCTTAAGCAGTTTAGGGGACCCTTTCTAATTACAGGAAGGTACTTCTTTCCTCAACACTGTGATATGACCTGTGACAAATCTGTACTATACACTATGTAAATGGCTAACAAGTCAATTGCAAACCAACTGAATGTACAAATCTTAGTGCTGGTGCTGAAATCTCTTCAGAATAGTCATCCTGATTTCAAAGTTTGTTTCGAAATTTGCAAGCATCAAGTGTCAATCAAAACTGAAGATGAAACTAATGAATGTCGAATTCTCATGCTTGAGGTGTACTCCCTTTTTAGAGTTTTCGGTTCTCTGCTATTTTTACCGTACTGTTTCATTTAAATTTCCTACATGCTAACTTCGCTTGTGCGATTGAAATAAAATTGCAGTACATACATGTTGCTTGTTTGTGACACTGAGATAATCTCTAAAATAATCTGTCGGTTCTAACATAAGTTGTATTGAATGTGAAAAAAAAAAGCTTTTTAAAGTCCATGACCTCACTAAAGTTTACATATCACGTCACTATTCTTAACAGTTTTCATAAAAGTCGTCAATACTAAGTAATGTGTACAAAGAGAATATGTGCAATGTACTACTTTTTGAAGTACCTGTTGGCTGTTCCCTATTTGTTATTTTCTCACGGCCCCGTTTGACACAGTATTCTCACTCTTACGGTCAAAAGAATGGCAAATGTTTAATTTTACTCCACTTTGTTCTACAACTTAGTCAGATACTTAAACTCATTTATGCAGTTACAGTTTTCCTTTATGTTGTTTTCAGGGTTAAGGGCATTGTGTGGTAAAGGGCCTTAGCAAGTACTGAATTTTAAATATAGTCAAATCTGTAGCTGTAGTGTTTATTTATACATTATGCCAATTTCTTAAAACCTACACATAAGCAGCATTGCTTTTTATCTGACTCTTACGAAGTATAAATTTTGAGTTCCATTGTAAAATTCTAATGTCTTCAGTAGAAATACAACAATCCTGGTCTTTTTTCTTTTACCTGATCCCACTTTCCCCTCTATCACCCTTTCCCCTTCTCATGGACTGCGTATTCATTGATATTTGTAGCCTTACACAGTCACCAGATATAAAAGTAACAAGTGACTTTTCTCTCTATCCTGTCTCAGGTTCTTGCTTCCTTTTATATATAAGCCAGAATGTTTGTCTACAAACTAAAAGTCAGTCACTTCCCATTCAAGAATGAATTAAGTAGCAGATGGCAACCTGTTAAATTTGCCTAGCTGCAACTTTTATGTCTCCTAAATTTGTATAAACTTCCAGTGCTATTGGGAAGGATTGGCCTTTAAAATTCTGACTAGTGATATCCTGTAAAGCATGGTTTACAAAGATATGCTACAAGGTCTCTGCAGTTCCTTTTTGTAGCCATCATAACTTTATAACCCTGTTACCCTTTAAATTCCATCAATTAAAAAGCATAAAAATGACATCCTATAAAGCATGCTGAGGGAAAGAACAACCTTGGAGCTCTCAATTCCTTTATGCAGCTATTATAAAATCTACTTTCCTAAAGACATTTACTCCAAAACCCCAGACCTGATCCTGGTAGTAACCACTTTTGTTTTTAATAGGTGAATTGGTATCTGTCCATCCCTTCAAAGCTCTAAGGATGTGAAAGGTAACCTAAGAGTATATTGCAACTAATGATTCTTAATACCTCTGACTTGTCACTGAAAAGCCATTTAATATTTATACTTAGATGCTTTTGAAGTCAAAATCCGAAGTGTGTATAAGGAATCTTGGTGAATCTGAGTGAACAGAATCGTTCCAGGTACCTTTGGCTACATAAAGACATAGTGGAGAGACCATGTAAGAAAGGTTTTTCTTTTCAGTGTAAGCACATTTGACTAAGACGTTCAGGTTGGTAACCCCTCAGGAGGCCATTTATAAGAGCCCAGTACCTTGTCGGGATCTAGAATGGTTTTCTCCTTTCCCAGCATTCCAATAGGCTATGGATTTGGTTCTCTTGTTGTCCCTCGATCATTTTTCAGAATCAAGAGATTTTTTGTATCTAAGTAATACTGGAAAAGGAACCTTCAAATACAAAAAGCCTAAAAATAATTGATTAGAAAACAAAATATTAATACAGTAAATTTAGGAGGGTCAGGGATATTCAGTATCAACATCAGTGGGTTCTAGGATAAACGGTGAACTCACAGAAGAGGCAAACTTGAGTTTTGGTAAGAAGTTAGATTTGAAGACTGCTTGTCTGTCTTTTTAGAAATAGTTTTTCTTTATATAGTTAACAGTCCATGTTAGAGGGTAAGCAAATGACATAACAGGACGTTCAAAGAAGGACTGCCGCATTTATTGACTATAGATGTGAAGATCTAGAAAATGAAACGACTTTTCAGTTTTTATAGCTGCCTGTTTTACAGCATCTCTAAACTGAAATGTTAGCCTCATTGAAGGCATGTACTAGGCTTCCAATACCTGCTCATTAACCTAGAGAAAAATAACAAAAGCTGAAACTTTAGTGAAGTGTTTGAGCCCCAAGATTGTTGGCCCTGAGCTGTACTCCACTTCTAGGAAGCCTATTAAATACTCAGAGAAATTGAGCATAGAATGGTACTTCTGGAAACTTATGCTGTAGGAACTCAAGAGTCCCAGGAGAAGGAGAAAACCCGGGCGGTAGGTAGGTGGCTGAGAGTAAAAGCAAAACTGTCTGAGGAGTAAGTACCCTTCCTTACCTCGCTTTTTAAAGGCATGTAACTCCTAGTTAGAAAAGTCAAATATATATACCGGTGAACTGATCACCAAATTCAAACTTTTCTCACCAAAAATTAAGTTCTGAGAGAACACAGCTGTTCATTTTAATAAGAATTATTAGAAAAGCTTACATATTTCATTAGAGGACTAAATTTGCATTTCCTTAAAAAGTCTTTATACAAATGACACCCTCATTGGTTTTTCATGTTGTAAATTTGATTTAGCTTTTCCCCCCTTCAATTCTAAACGATTTCTTTAGTGGCAGCTAACAATATTTAAAATATTAAAGAACTCTCTGATAGAGGCAGTGAATAATCATATGGGTTGCTTTGGTTTTTAGTAAATAGTGGTTCTTCCAAGAAGGCTTAAAATATATAGAAAAGCATGCAGTTGGTTCTAATTCTCCCATCAGATCCAAAAGCTTCTATTCAAATCTATAGAAATAGAAAACAAACCCGTGGCTTACATTTAAAATGTACACACTATTGTAACCGTATGAAAACAAATGTGCCACAGAGGCTTTTTATTTTATTTTATTTTTGTTTTTTATTAGTTTCAGGTGTACAAAGCAATGCAATAATTATCCTTTTCACCCCTCACAGTGACAACCCCCCCCCCCCACCCACTGTCTCCCCCACCGATATCATACATATTTATTACGATTCCATTGACCCCATTCCCACACTCTACTCCACAAATTATAGTTGACATATAATATTATTCAATGGCAGCTTCAGATGTACAGTGCAGTGGTCAGGCCTCTACACCATCCATGATGGACTCTCAAGACATGAGTCCCATCTGGTCCCCTAAAAAATATGTACAATATTGATTATATTTCCCCAAACACAGAGGCTTTTTAAAATGTGGTTCTTAAAATTTCTAATGTTCCATGCCTTTAGTCACATCCATGGGAACTCTAAGTCCCTTTTTTAAAGATTAAAGGCATGTTTGAAAACATTTTTGAATTCATTTAAATTTTAGGTGAGAAATATCAATGTTGGATTTTTGTTGTCACCACCAGGCTGAACTTGGGTGTAAACTTGGTTGGTTCTGCCTGCCGTGGCTTTAGGTGTGTTCAGTGTTTCTTCCTGAGTCAGGTTTGTCCGTTCCTGGTGGTGGGCTAACTCAGCAGGTAATAAATTCTAAGCATCACCCGGCAGCCAGATGCTACAAGGCCACCCAACACTGGTGGTCCGGCAAGTGAAAGTCACATTGGAGGAACTTCTGGAGACCTCAGAGCTGCTGTGAAGGGTTGGTAGTAGGCACTGTTTGTCACTAAAATTTCCAGGGAGAAGAATACCCCGGAGAAAAGTCCTGGGAGGGTTTAAATACTCAAATGAAAACCATATTAAAATTGGGCATCGTTTCTTTTTCTATTTATTCATTAACAAGGGGGTGGGAGTTTCAGGCCTTAGCCCGGAATTTACAATTGGGTTTCTGTAGATACTTTAAGCGTCAATTGCTAAAATTGAAGGGGGCGGGGAAGGCAGGTAATAGTATTTGGTCCTCACGTAAAAGAGCCTGTTTCTGAACATAAACGTTAAAAGATTCCTGGTTGATCCACTCATCGCCTTTTCTTAGGCTTATGATTCTGTGCGTCCTACTTTGTGTTCTCACCTCTCCCTTCAGTGAGTGGACTGTGGGCAGGTCGTTGGATGGGGACGGGCTGACTGCAGAGCTAGTCGATTGTCCCCTCTGGTCCTTGTCTCTCAGGCTCCTGCCTCTAACACGTAGCTCTCTGTGGCCCTCTGTGACTACCGGTTTCTCTCTTCTTTTTTGGTCCAGGAGAAAGGAAAAAGAAAGCCTGGGTTTTGCTTCCTGATCTCAAATTATGTTAAAATCTTAGGCCCCAGTCACTGAAAAAGTTACGTCCTAGGTGTGAACACTAAAGGAAAGATCAATGCAATGATGATTTTGAGGTCCGTAGTGACTTAGAAGGTGCTAGTGGTGTGTTAAGCTGGGGCTCCGCTATGCATCACCCGTGAGCCTTTCCCAGATGGGGTGGTGGGCTCCCCAGAAGTGGCAGCACATCCTCGTCGTCGGTCTGCTGCCCTCAACCTGGAGGCACATTCTGCCATTCGGGAAGACCGAGTGTAACGAGGGGGTTGGGACCACGTGAGACATGAGGCGCACGCCCCAATTCTGAGGAGCGGCAGAAAGTCCTTTGGACTCTTTCTGGCTTGGGAGTTCTTTATAAGTAAACAGACCCACTAGAGCTGGATGGCATGCAGCAGCCTTATTTTTCCTGAGGAGGAAGGCACCTCTGCCGTTTTCATATCCTGAAGCACTGTTACCCTTGAGAGGAAGAAAGAGTAGTAATACCCTCCCCTCTCTGCCCCAGTTCCTTGTTTTAACCCAAAGACTGTCATAGCGATTTCTTGACAGAACAGGTGACCCTCCTGTGCCATTTGAGTGATTGAGTCCTCCCTTGATGTTACGAAAATGAAGGTAACTGGCTCAAAGAGGTTGAACTGGAAGGTTTGGGATTATAAAAGAGAAGTTCTATTTCGCGAACATTCTTTTACTTTAGTTCTCTCGGTGGACGTGTGTGTATTTTGGAATTTTTGTTAGCAGTAAGAATGCCTTTCATTTGTGTGTGTGTGTGTGTGTGTGTTTGGGAAAAAAGTGTTTCTAACAAAAATGAATGGGCTAGTCAATGG